GCGGTGAGTAGCTCCGTCGTCTCGCCTCAGGGGAGGTCTGGAAAGGGTCCCGGAGCAATTCCTTCAGTGAAAGCGCCTCGTTTAAAAGAGGGCAAGGCGCGGGGGCAGGAGAGCCGCCGAGGGGTGGTAGGCGGAACTCCCTGCTACGGTGTGGGAGTCCCAAATCTTCATATACCGCCCTTACTTGGGGGGGCTTTGAAACCGGCCACTCGACGCGTTTCAGTGCGTTGCCCCGTGGAAATCTTTTGTCTCTCGCTTTCCTGTTTCGCTGACACGTTTTTGGGTGGAGAGGGAAGCGCGTGTGTGTCTTGTGTCGGTTTTTGCACCTTCAGCCAACAACACGTAGAAGTCGCTGTGCTGCGGCGTAACAAGTGGCCGATCAGCCCTTGAAAAGCAGCAGAGAACAGGCTAAAATAACACCAGCAAATTAAAAAAAATAGCTTTCGACATCCTACTCCATTTTCTGCCCCCCCCTTTCAGTGTTGGTGCTGAAATTCTCCCCCAAGGAAAGTAAATTGCCTGGATGAGCAGTTGTTGAGAGGGTGGCTTTCTTAAAATGAGGTTTGGCCTAAGCTAAGTAAGTGTTCACCTGGGGAGGAGTTGAGCTGACATGCATCTGTTGCCTGACATTATCACTCTCTATTTATTCAGAGCATCTGTCACTTTTCTGCCCCATGCCTGACACATGATGAGTTTTGAAAACAAATTACCTGGGCTGGGCCAAGATCCTGTTCAGTTCCTGTAGGTAAGCAACCTGCTTCCATCTCACCTCTATGTCGGTCTGTAGCTGCTTTCATTTTTTTCCTGTTACAGTAGGTTTTTTTTTTTTGCAGCCTGCCAGTTTTGTTCTTTACAATAGGAGTAGTAATCATGTTTGTAGTAATGAGAACGTTAAAGGTTTGTCTACGTGTGTAGTGATATCTTACAAACATCATTAGACACGTTACAAAACAGTCTGAATTTTCCTTTACGCAGCCCCCGTGTTTACACACTCAGTGTTGTAGACCTCACTGCAGACACCTGCACTCTTCAATTTCTTATAAATTTTCTCTTCTGTTCCCAGACATTTTGTAACTAACAAAAGGAAATAAGCTGTTATTTTCAGGATAGCTCAATGATTTAGGTAGAGGGTGAGACTTTAATTTCTCACTGTGTCTCTTTGACAAAGGCTGAATGATGGTCCACAGGGTCCTTCCAGCTCTGCTGTTCTAAGGTTATTATTATTAAGAACACCTTGTGTTTGCATTGCAATAACCTTAGAGGAATCTTTTAAAAACTAGGGGGGTTGTAGATGGAGGGAGTATGATTGAAGTTCTAAGTTGTGTTTGATATGTAAAAAGACCCATTCTCGTTGGGCATTCAAAATTGTTAGGCTTTATGTTGAACAATTGGTTGGGTTCACGTGTCATCGTTCAGTTTTGGAGGTAGTTTTGGATTAGTATTCATCTCTCTAAGGTATTTTTGGAGGGGATGGTCTCTAAAGGCCAGTTCAAGCAATAGCAGCCTTCTAACATTCTTTAAACTGGGAATGTGTATCATACAGCCCATGGCCAATGTTCTCCAGGGCTGCTCCTTCCCCTACAGGCATTTTTTTTAAAAAAATTCCCATTCCTAGAAGTCTGCAGAAATACTAATTGTGCTTTTAAAAAGTTATAGTCTCCGCATTTTAAAAGTTAAGACCAAACCAGATTTTTCTAGATGCTGG